TTCCAGATTATTGCAAGTTTTGTTTAATTTCTAGAGTTCTTAAAAAGTTGATTCTGACAATTTTTAGCCATTTTCTCATTGCTTTATGAAAAGCATTTACACAAGTTTTTATTCTACCATTTTTGGTGACATCACCTTTATTTAACTGTTGAATTATATTTCATTTTATAAACAATATCATTTAATTTTTTTTCATAATATATTTTCCTACCATTTTTATTTGAAAAAATTTCAAACCTTCACAAATATAACAATAACCTATAAGTATCCACATATCTTTCACCTAGGTTTACCAAGTGTTAACATCCTGCCTGCCTTCCTGCCTGCCTACCTGCTTTGAACGATTTGAGGGTTAGTTGCAGATATGGTGACAACTTTACCCTTGAAGAGAAGTATCTCCCAAGAACCAGGCCACTCTCCTTTATAACATTATAACAATATAATAATCACACTCAGGAAATTTAACATTATTACAATAATATACTCTATATGCTATGTTCAAATCCCCCAAAGAACAATTTAGAACACCTAATACAGGCACATCTCCAAAAAGAGCAGAATCTGTACCAAGAAGAATCATACTTAGACCCTCTTGCAAATGCCAGGAATGGAATGGCCACAGGCCTGAGATGCTGCCTTAATATGTGAGGTGCTTCCCAGGGTTCAAGACTCCTTATCTTCTTGGGAAGTATTTGCTGTGTTGTTTTTTTTTATTTTAGCAAATGATATAGTATCTTAAAATTCCTTAGGGAAAAATTAAAGCAAAGCAACAATTCTGCTCAAATTTAAGAAACAAATGAAAAGAAAACACACCAGAATAAAACCTTTCTCCCCAATTTTCTTCTGGGATGTCCTGATAAAAATCACGTCCTTGAGGGGATGTGTCAAACAAACCTTTCCAAAGAGGCACGAAATGATGACACACACCGTAGTAAGGCAGGTCCCTGACAACACACAGGAAAAAAAAAACCCTCTTTTATGTCACATACTTGCAATGACAGGGCAGTGTCTCATTTCTAGTACTTTGATCTCAGAGATAATACCTCTGAGAGATGCCTTTGTATCCTTATGATTGGACAAAGATGAAGTTGCAATGTAGAAAATGTTAACTCATGCCAGTTTTTTTTTTAATTTCCTAATACACAGCTCCAAGCAAGTGTCTACCTAGGCCAGCAAAGTGTGGGCCATGGGCCACCCAAATCAGCATCACATGTGGGGTTGTTCATTGCCAAGTGTTCATTACCAAGCTTCTTCATCTCAGGCCTACTGACTCAAAACTTCTGAAGCTGGATCTCAGGAATCTGTGTTTTAAAAAGCACCCCAGGTTATTCCCAAAGCACATTTCTATTTGAGAAAAATTAAGCTAGGCTTTAATCTGAGATTAACTGCAACTTAAGATGGAAAACTCTATGGAAAAAGAATCAGATATTGAGAAACTGATTTGTACTGTTATCTATGGAAGTAGCTTTTTAAAAGCTGCTAATATTTTGACTACAACCCTTACAAAGGAGTATGTTATACATCATGACACAGTAGACACACACACACACACACACACACACACTTTATAGTGTTCTAAAACAATATTTATCCTTACTTCTTGTAATGCACTTTGATATTTTTATCCTATTCTATTGCAATGTTTTAAAAACACTGGACATAACCCACTAAAGCTTTTTCACAACCCTCTAATGAATCACAAATTGCAGTTTCCAAAACACTGATCTACAGCCATCAGTGGAAATGTAAAGCTCAACCAAGTAAGCATAAATCTATAGACAGAGTACAAACATGGCATGAGTCGAACTAGATTTTTAAAAGATATTCTAAATATATATATACATTTAGCTGCATTTAAAACAGTTTAATCACAATGCTGGTATCCTAATGAAGTAAAATATCATTTAGGCTGATTTCAACTCTTATTATTTTCAGTTGACAATTGTGGGTTTCAGAAGGAAATAAACTGGAGTAAAAATTTGGTGCAATGTTAAGCCTGTGAGTACTAGTAATTAACGGATGAGGTTCAGATCCTGGCTCTCCCATGTGGTAGGGATGGCAGCCTGAGGAATGACCTCTCCAAGCCTCAGTTTCTTCTTCTATGAAATGGGGCTAATGACAGCATCTGTGTCATAAGGTTGCTGTGAATATTAAATAATTCATGTAAATAATAATGGTTATTATTATTCAAATATAAGATGCATTTTACCACCTTAAAAGAATGATAAAAATTACATCTAAATAGGGCTTATTATACAAGCTTTCATATAGTTTACTAAGAATACAAATATACTGTGTACCTGGCATTGCCCTTCTCTTGATGAACAAACACTGAATGTTTTCTGACTATGACTCCATGTTAGGTGCCAGAGTTACAAAGAGCCACGTGATATGGTACATATGGTACTACTTACTAAGCAGCTGATAGTCTATAGTTAGGACAAAAGAAAGAAATGTGAATACCCAAATCATATGCCAAGTGCCAAACAGAAGAGATGCTGACAGGGAGTGTAGTCTGAGTTCAGAGAGAGGACTGGTCAGGAAGAGCTCTAGAAGTGGGCACTCAGGGGTGGGGTGGGGATAAAAGGGTAGGGGTCTGAGTGCATAGAAAGGAGGATGGAGAGAATTCCAAGGAGAAGACAATAATGGGAACCAAGACGAAGGGGCGAACCACGCCTCCCAGTTTGGATGGGGACAGTAAGTCATCAAGACAAGGTTAGAAATTAAAGCCAGTTTGGGTAGGAGGCTCGGGCAATAGGTGATTAGGGAGAGTGATCTGGAAGGCGGTGTGGTGGTGCTGCCCTGTTAAAGTCAACTCAAGCTGGCTGTGGAGGGTGGGGCATCCTATGGGAGGTTGTCTGATGAAAGCAACACCGGGAGGGGGTAGGACCCGCCACATCAACCTTGCAGATATCCCCAGTTAGCACAATGAGAACATCAACACAGAAAAATAGGGTTCCAATTAATTTCTCTAGAGTTTCCATAGCACGGCTTTAAAGCACTGATGGACTCAGTCTCTAGCACAAAGTTCTCAGTTATGGATAGATTACTCACTTGGAATTTTCCAAAACTTTAAGTAAACCGTCCCTACCACTGAAATGATTCTACTTTTCTTGTTCAGATTCTATTCATTCTTTGCTCACCAAGCAACCTTCTGACCAAGTATTCAGCTTGCCAGGTAATTTGATAGAGAGAAGAACACCTTAATAAGAGTCATTAAGCATTCCAGTCACTAGAAAGGGTATCTCCCATAACAACATCAAAACTGGCCTTCCACTTATCCATCAGATTTATGTCAATTTTGTTATACTAATCAGCAAATGTCCTTTAATGTGCTCAGAAGGTGACAGACCCAGTTTTGACTGCATTTTACAGTCACCTGGATAACTACTTAAAAATACCTTGGACTGGGACAGCTGGCTGCAATTAAGGCCTCTCCTGGGCAGCCCCTGGGGTGGCCCACCGCTTTCTCAAACAATGACTCTCAATCCTGGCTATGTGTTAGAAGAAACTGGGAAACTTAAAAAAAAAAAAAAAAGATCCATGCCCAGGAATGGATACTTCCAGAGATGTTAAAACCTATCCACTAGGCAGAGGACGTGAATTCTAATAATCCATGCACCTCATTCTGAAGCAGAGATGAAAAGGATACTGAAATACATTGGAGTCGAGAGATTTCTATTTTACTTACATGTCGGATAATCAGTTATTCTACTCTCTTTGATCGCCCTTCCACAGGGGCCTAGCTTTTAAGCTGTTACTGGTTTCAAACTCTGAATTCCATACTGCTTTAGAACAGAGGTCAGCAAACTTTTTCTATAAGGGAGTGGAGAGTAAGAGTTTAGGCTTTGCAAGTCATACTGTTTCTGTCACAACTACTCAACTCCGCGGTTATAGCACAAAAACAGACATAAATAATATGTAAACAAAGAAGCATGCCTGCATTGCAATACAACTTTATTTACAGAAACAAGAGATGGACGAAATTTGACCAGTGGACTGCTTTAGAACGTTTGAGTTATTATAATTAGCATTCTGATCTTGTGCCCATTAATACAAAATTAGTAACAAAGTATGAAAATAAATACAAAAAGTGCTCTGAATCTTGTAATCTTATCTGTGGACTATCATCCTCTTCCCATTTACCAGAAACTCAAAACAGGGGGCTCTGTTTATATTTAGACCATATGGAGTTCTTCAGACTATTTCTGCTTCTGAGTACTGCTGACCACCCTCCAAGCTTCACTTATGGAGAAACCACCCACCTGATTACTCAAGTGAGGTCTGCAGTCCTCCACAGCAAACCAGAAGGGAGCGTGGCTGTACCATTCTGGCCTCCTCACTAGTAGAAAATGCCCGAGATATTTATTAAATACTTGTCCATTTATGTGGGTAGGGGAAAAGTCCATCTGGGATGCTTTCATTTATTCCCCCATACAATTGATCAGTGAAGTACAAAAATACAAGCCTAAGTCTAAAGTTTTGTGTTAGATAATTTCTGTTCAGCTGAATAGGCTTAATCAATGATCCTGTCCTAGCCATCACTCCTGACTTCCCCCTAATCTCTCAATATGCATAATGAATGAAAGTCAACAGGGTGAGACCATTTGCTAAGTGGATGAAACTGGAGCACGGATAGCACTCAGCTGGAGCTCGCTACACACATATGGCATCCCTCATTCCCACTCTGTGACATCAAGTTCCCAGATCAGCAATGCTGAGACATCCAGTCATGCAGAATCTCCAGGAAGCCTGTGGCCCCATCCTTACAGCTCAGGGAAGTTTATCTCAATTGTCAAAGTTAATGCCCTGCACAGCGGGGACCAGCGTCAGGTGGGGTGGTCTCCCGGGGAAGGAGGGTGCACAGCTGGCAAACATTCAATCCCCCAGTTGACCCACAGTGTTAAGGAAAACAAAACTGAAGCAGAAGTTCAATCCTTGGATGTATGTCTCTGAGCTCAGTTACTATGAGTCCTTATGACAGTTCACATCGTACTTACCTGGAAGTGTTTTCAAGTATTCCTTTGACCTCATTCATTTCTTCCTTCCCAAAGTAAACAACTGTGAGATGAATTCTCCCATCCTGTTGGATGCACATCTCCCTAGAAAACAAAACACATGTATGTCTGGTCCTGTGTTCACAATAACAGGCAAGGTCCAAACAAATACCTGTTTTGTAAAGTGCAAAAGGTTCTCGAAGTAAACTGAGTGAACTACCGAAAGAGCAGAGATGGGTCAGCAAGCCATTTCTGGCTGGCCATCACAATTACCTGTATTGATACGTATCTTACGGAGAAAACAATGAAATTTAAACGTGCAGATCTAGTAAATGAAACTCAGACACAAGAGGCCACAGGTCTGACTGATCTGCCACAGGCTTAGCCCATCGGGGTCACCTAGTGTCATGGAAAGGTCACTGGGGCCTTATTACCCTTCTTTGACATAAGAAGTCTATGAAGTACAGAAGACATAAACATAGATTCCATTTTACAGATGAGAAAGCTAAAATCCAGAGAAGGTGAGACAAGAATCCTTGTCTATGAGCTTTCCTGCGTGTGCCAAACACAAACAGTCTTCAAGACTGAATAAGCAAAGGTAAAAGATTCTTTCATGTAGGGCTCCAGAAACCTTTCTTCATACCTCAAGGGAATGACCAGGCTGGAGCGCAGCTGCTCTGTGCACCTTCCCTGGGTCACACCTTCCCGAGCACCCACAATCACCTGCACTACTTCCCTGTCTCTCCTCCCTGTGACCAATTGTCCCAGGTACCTGGCACCTCAGGCTCCAGGGTCCTGACAGCCCTCTTTGGGCCAGGCCTCTGGCTCTGGACTGGTCTAGACCTACTTTCTCTACCAAAGCTTATTTATTTGCCTATGTCCTGCTCTCTAAATGGTAACACCTAGCTAATCTGGTAAGATACTCCGCTGAGGGTTTACCGCATATACATTTGTGATATGTGCATAAATTAGGTATGTGTATATGAACATATGTGTGTATATGTGTAAGTACATGTGTGTAAATATGTGTGTACATGTAGGTGTACACATATATGTGTGTGCACAGTTTAAATAAGAGTTTTCTGGAAGCAAATTAATGAAAGATTCTACTGGTTGGATATTTTGTGATATTTTGACATTTTGCATGTCCTTCCTTTTTATTCCTTTTGTCTCTATATTCACTACTTTCCTTAACCCCCCAAACAACAGTCCACATAACAGCTTTCTGAAAATCCCTGAGCTCTAACTGCAGAGGCTAATTTATTCAATGTTTTTTTTTTTTTTTTTTTTTTTTTTTTTTTTTTTTTTTTTTTTTTTTTTTTATAATGCCATCAAAAAGGAGTGACTGCCTCGCTGGGAGAAATCCAAAGATGTAGGAGATCTGGTTCCTCTGCTCAACATGCTTGGGAAATAAAATGAACTCAAATAAAATAATGACACCTCATGGCACAAATAACAAGGAGACAGTTCAGAAAACACAGCAAATCCTATCAGCTGGAATGGCTGGGGCCTGAAGGAGGGTTAGGGTAGAGGAAGAGAAGAGGAAGAAGAGAATCCCAGATGGAAGAAATATCAGGGAAGATGATATTGACCCGAGGCTAGAAGCATGCAGGACTCGTCCTGGTCACAGGCTTGGTTCTGAGAATCTGTTTCTTTCCCGTGAATTAAAGGTAAGAGCTGCCTCTGAAATGCAGTCTGATGGCAGAGCTCTTAGACAGACAAGGAACCAGGAACAGAGGCCCAGCATGTGACAAAGTGCTTCAAACTGAGAGCTCCCTCACAGCCTCAGTCCCTGCAGTCTAAACCATACCTACTGACAACAAAATTCTCTTCCATAAAAGATCTCTTTTGCTAACTTGCCAGATAATGCTTTAACTTTCTTTGCCAGGGTAGAATAAAAGAACACACAGAGAGCCAAGCACCAGGAAAAATGTGCTTTCAAAATGCGTGTGTAGTTGGAAAAAATTTATCCTAGAATCAGGAGAGGGTCACCCGCTGAGCCTGCATAAAAAGCATTCTTGTTTTTCTAGTAACATCTTTGCTGGCATTTAAAAATCTATTCAAAGCACTTCCCTGTTTTCAAGGAATAAAACAGAGATACACTGGCCCTTCACTCTTCTTTCGCCAGCTGAGGCTTCCCAAAAAGGCAAAGCAGAATTGGTTCTGAGGTGCTCCTCCAGGGTTCCATTTCATTTACTCATTTTTTCCTTCCTTCCTTCCTTTAACAAACAATAACCAAACAAGCAACCTACTACGTGGCAGATGCTCTACCAGGGGATCTTAAAAAAATGAATAAAACATTTCTGCCCTTGATAAGTTATCTATCTACTGTACATAACTAAAACTACCTAGAACACAATAAACAAATGCTCTACGAGAGAATGAGCACAAGTACTATGGAAACACCATCACCAATCTGTCTGAATGTGTGATTTTTATATTTTTCAAAATAATTCTCACTAGACTCCATCACCTGGAACAATGTGTGTGAGAAAATAGTGTGTATGTGGGTGACTGTGTATGTGGAGATGTCTGTGTTTTGGTGTGATTGTTTATGCCTGGATCCTCCGAGCTAACTTAGGTGCCCCTGAGAGCACATCTCTATAATGACCATGGTCAGGTTACAGCAAAGCCATATAAGTGTCAAGGAACCCCAGCTTCCTAAGAACCCTTCAGGGAAGCTCTTCATTTCACATGGATGCTTTCTTTGTATTAGCTCCACAATCCTACTTACAATATAGTGTACAATATAGTGATTAAAAAATTCTACACATTCCTCAGTGCCCATCAAGATGACTGCACTCTTAATCCCCTTCACCTATTTCACCCATCCCCCACCCACCTCCTCTGTGGCAACCATCAGCTTGTTCTCTGTATTTAAGAGTCTGAGGTTTGGGGCACCTGGGTGGCTCAGTCGGTTAAGCGTCCGACTTCGGCTCAGGTCATGATCTCACGGTCCATGAGTTCAAGCCCCACGTCGGGCTCTGTGCTGGCAGCTCAGAGCCTGGAGCCTGCTTCAGATTCTGTGTCTCCCTCTCTCTCTGGCCCTCCCCCGTTCATGCTCTGTCTCTCTCTGTCCCAAAAATAAATAAACATTAAAAAAAATTTTTAAATAAAAAGTCTGAGGTTTTTTTGCTTGTCTCATTTTTCTTTGTTCATTTGTTTTGTTTCTTCCACATATGAGTGAGATCATATGGTATTTGTCTTTCTCTGAGTTATTTCACTTAGCATAATATTCTCTAGCTTCACCCATGTTGTTGCAAATGGCAAGATCTCATTCTTTTTTATGGATGAGTAATATTCCATTGTGTACTTATACCACATCTTCTTTATCCATTCATCTATGGATGGATATTTGGCTGCTTCCATAATTTGGCTATTGCAACAATGCTTCAATAAACATAAGAGGCACATATCTTTTTGAATTACTGTTTTCATTACTGTTTTATTTTGGGGGGTAAATACCAGAAGTGGAATTACTGGGTCATATGGCAATTCTATTTTTATTTCTAGATGAACCTCCACATTGTTTTCCAAATGCCTGCTCCAATTTGCATTCCCACAAACAGCCCATGAGGATTCCTTCTTCACACCCTCACCAATACTTGTTATTTCTTGTGTTTTTTTTATTTTAGCCCTTCTAGTGGGTATAAGGTGATATCTCATTGTGCTTTTGATTTGCGTTTCTCTGATGTTGAGTGATGGTAAGCATCTTTTCATGTGTTTGTTGGCCATCTGTATGTCTTCTTTGGAAAAATGTCTATATCTGGTCCTCTACCCATTTTTTAGTCAGATTATTTGTTGTTGTTTGGTTTTGAGTTGTATAAGTTAATTATATATTTTGGCTATTACCCGTTATCAAATATGTTATTTGCAAATATCTTCTGATAAATAAATTCAGTAAAGTAATAGGATACAAAGTTAATATATAGAAATCAGTTACATTTCCATACACTAATAAGGAAGCAGCAGAAAGAGAAATTAACAAAAACAATCCCATTTACAACTCCACCAAAAATAATTAAATACCTAGGAATAAACTTAACCAAGATAGTGAAAGAATTGTACTCTCAAAACTATAAAATACTGTTGAAATAAATTGAAGATGACACAAACAAATGGAAAGATTTCTATACTCATGGATTGGAAGGACCAATATTCTTAAAACGCCCATACTATCCAAAGCAACTTATATATTTAATGCAATCCCTATCAAAATACCAACAACGTTTTTCACAGAACCAGAATTAATAATACTGAAATGTGTACGGAATCACAAAAGACACTGAATAGCCAAAGCAATGAGAAAGAAGAAAAAGCTAGAGGTATCACAATCCCAGATTTCAAGATATGCTACAAAACTATAATGATCAAAACAGTGTGGTCCTGGCACAAAAATAAGACACACAGATCAATGAAAGAGAATAGAGCCCAGAAACAAACCCATGATTATATGGTCAATTAAGCTTCAATGAAGCAGGAGAGAATATACAATGGTAAAAAGACAGTCTCTTCAACAAATGGTGTTGGGAACACTGGACAGACATGCAAAAGAATGAAACTGGACCACTTTCTTACTCCATACACAAAAATAAACCCACAATGGATTAAAGACCTAAACGTGAGACCTGAAACCATGAAACTCCTAGAAGAAAACACAGGCAGTAATTTCTTTGACATTGGCCACAGAAACATTTTTCTAGACATGTCTCCTCAGGCAAGGGAAACAAAAGCAAAAGACTACACCAAAATAAAAAGCTTTTGCTCAGGGAAGGAAACCAACAACAAAACAAAAAGGCAACCCACAAAGACCTTGTCTTTTGAAGACATTTTTTTCCTGGAAAACAACAGTTCCTTCTCCCAGAGGATATTGTACCACAGAGTACAGGGACTAATTAAGATATATTTGCAGTCAGAAAACACATATCCTGGTCACTTACACACCTATATTTTTATTTCCCAAGAGGCTAAAAGCACATCACAGTCTTTGAGTTCTGTTACTAACCTGAACGAGGTAGAAAGAGGTAGTTGACCTTCGCTTACACTCTCAGTACATAGGTAAAGAAAGGAGTTCCAATGACCTGCCCAAGCTCTGGAGGCAGCCA